TTAATTCCTTTATGTTTTTGACCTAATGATAATTACTTAAATTTTTTGGCACATTTTGTAAGAAATTTGTAAGTGCACGTAAAAAAATTATATCTACCCAAAAATACGAGTTGAAAAATAAAAATAACACAACTCACAGCTTGGCCCAGTAGGGGGAGGGTATCCAACAGTGCACCTTTCACTGCCTCTCCCACAAACTACACACTTATTACAGAACAAATGAAAAAATTAAGAAAATACTGCATAATTTTGATACATTACTATATGGGAGGACAGTCTGGGCTCATAAAGGGCCTTGCCCTGTGCATCTCTCCCCAAAATGGCCACGCCAGTTGACTCCTAACATGCTATTTTAATTTTTGCCTGGACCCAAATTCATATAAGCAGGGGAAGCTTTCATATCTCAAGGAAGTGGTGTCAATTTATGAAATTCATTTAAGTGAATTTTCTTATCTAGAATATTCGTATCACGGGGTATATATATGTAAAGTACAGTACAGTATATGGTACAGGTATCCCTCGTTTAACAATAGGCTAGCACTCCTGAAAACCTAACGTTAATCAAAATTATCGCTAAATGAAGGATAAATTTGAGAGATTCAGTCTTTGGGAGTTTTTTCCATCAAAATGCACACAGACAAGAGACAGTGCAGATACGCAACTCTAGCACAGAAGCCCCAGTTTTTTCCTCCTTCCCAGTGAGTCAAGCTATCACTAAACCAAATTGGGATCTAAAATTAAGCAAGAATTTTTTCCTAACTATGGATTTTTGTAAACCAAATCTTCATAAATCCGGGACTGCCTGTACAAGGTTTTGTGGAAACATTGTTATGCTACATGTTTACTTCATGATAAGTCTGTGCCCCAATATCAAAGAAAATCATCCCAAATAAAGAAGTGTTGCAGGAAGTGAGGAAGTGGTAAATATGGGAGGGGGGGGGGTGCACCCTATTTGGCCATGGCCCCTCCCTTTGCTACTACTCTCAACTTACTCATCCCAATGCAACCAGTGTGAGAAATGTAATAGATATTTAGTAACTAAGTCTAAGTTTTATTAATTATCAAAGGACCTTTGTCATATAACATGATCATATAAAAAAAATTAAAAGACAAGTGGAAGGAAATAATATACAGGCAGTCCCCAACTTACGACGGGGTTAAGGACCCAAATCCAGGTCGTAAGTCGAAAATACGAAAATAATACATTGAAAATCTAAAATGGGTGTCTCCTTCTCAGCACCACAAAACTCTCACTTTTAAGCTTGCCAGCCATTTTAAAGGGAATTACAAACAAAAATTATGTCAGTACACAGCGCTATCACTAACGCTGGGACTCGAAAATATGTAATTTGAAAAAAATTTGGTACGACTGGGGTGGTCCTAAGTCAAGGAGTACCTGTAATGTCCCTTTTTTGAGTCTTGGACCCCACTTTCCAGAAACTTGTACAGGTTGACAATCCCTTATCCGAAATCCTTGGGGCCAGAGGAATTTAGGATTTCGGAATTTTTTGGTTTTCAGAATGGTTAGTTTTTTTTTTTGTGTGTATTAGCCCACCCGGGCATAGATCACTGACCCACATCAGGGCCTGGGGGGCGAAAATATAATAAAAATTATAATAATAATGATAATAATTCATAGGTCTAGATCATGTTTCTCACTTGATTTTTTTTTTTCATTCTTGTATTTCTTTATTATTATCATTTTATTACAATACTCCTGTATTATTGTTATTTTTATTAATTTTATTATTATATATTATAATTACTGTATTATTAATGTTATCATTATTTTATTTTGGTGTATTTTTATTAAAATTTTTATTTACTATGAATAATTATTATTACCATTACATTTTCGCCCATCAGGCCCTGATGTGGGTCAGTGATCTATGCCCAGGTGGGCTAATCTCTTAAAAAAAAAAATAATAATAATTGCCCCACAAAAAAACCTTTCGGTTTTCGGAATTTTGGATAAAGGGTTGTCAACCTGTACATGCCATTGGTGGCAGGAGTTACACATATTGTATTAGGTCTAAAAAATAACTTTGCCAAAACCTAATTGTAAGGTCAAGGTGAACATCTACTGGCACATGAGAATCCAGTAGATGGTATTACAGATCAATAGATACAAGAGGAGAACACAAGGGATGGTTAGAAGAAAACAAAAACCAGACTCCCACCACTAAGATGGAGACAAATTACTAATCATGACTGGTATGAAGAGTTCATAAAGTTGGGGGAAATGGTTATTGAAATAAATAAATCAACAAATCCCTTTATTTCACATCCAAAAGCACACAGTGCTAAACATCTTCAAAAGAGATTTAACCTGGGTTCAACAGGACAACCATACTTAGCGAAACAATCTTCTTGAACCATAACATTACAAGCTACCAACACTTACAAAATAACTGAAAACAATGCTTGATGAAATTTTTAATCCGGATTTCAATAATTATTATTTTTGGGAATACTGTAACTCAGAGACATTGAATGTGATGTAGTCGACTGATTGGCTTCAGTCACTTCCAGATTAAGAGCTAGAAAGACATCACATGTGTGTACAACACATTCTCATCCTTAATGCAATCCTTCCAAGGAGATTCCTTTCTATTTCTTTATCTTTTACTCATCTTAATCCTAAAGATTCTATTCTTTACCTTATTTTAAATCCCCATCACATTTCTTGGTCTACTTTTATCACTATTTATACCAGCCATTATTTATTTTACAATCGGTAACATTTGCTCAAACTACCTTATCCTTACCCCTAGTTCCTATCTTATTTTCATAACTTGTTATTATTTCACTATTGTCAGTGTTACAAACAGCAAATTTTAATGCTCAGCACAAAAGCTGAAACATAACTTTTTAACATTGCAGGGGTGACAAAAAATTTTGAGTGACATGATGAATTTTCAATTCCTTCTTACAATACAAAGGTCACACATGACCATACATTCAAGAAACAAGGGCATAAATTAACTGACTGAATTGAATGAAATGGCTTTATCTGAAAAATATAAAAAATTTAGTTTTTTTTACTAGACATGATTCCTGCCCGATTAACTAATATTTATGACTAAGCCCTATCTAAATAATAATACCATTATGAAACCTTTTATTTTTATTTTTTATTTATTTTTTACGACAAGCATATTACCAGTATAAAAACATCTGATTTCAAAACTCATTACGGGAATGTTGGCAAATGTTTTGAAGGCTAGGTTCATATATTCAGATGATATTCAAAGCAGCTTAACAGATTAGAACATGATCTATGAAGAAGGAGGATCACTAATATGAGTTATTGGATGCAAATACAATATCCAGGGGCCCCAAAATTAGCGGGGGTTAGGTTCTCAAAATGACCATGAATAACATTTACTGACCCATCGAGGGGGAGGGGGTGTACATTTTTACTTGTGTACAAAGAAAAAGTGGGGGTAGAGGAGAAGGAAGTGGGGATGGAGGAAAAATCATTCTAGGGGACCCATGCTTGATGCAGTAATTTCACCAATAAAATTTTAAGTTCACTAGGTGTAATTCAAGATTATTTTCTTTAAATCAACACTGCACTGTGCTATATATTGTCAATATGTTAAATAAATTTCAGAAGGACCAATAATTACACTGTAAAAACATAAAATTACTCTGTGTTCAAGAGAGCCACAAGCAAGATGTTTCCTCCACTGAACAGACACAAACTGACGCCTTGGTGGGTGAGTGAAGTGGCTGATGGGCACACCAAAAACTAGTTCCCTGTACTGCAATTATGTTATATAAGTGTTAAAATTACTTATAATTTTAATATAAAACTTGGAAAAATATTGAATAACACAACCTTCTTGATATTTCCTCCAATGGAAACGAATATAAGCCCTAGAACCGATTACTGTATTGGCGGACTAATCTTCCAGCTGGTGAATAAGCCAAAACATGTTGACATATTTTCGTAAGAAGATTCTTATGGAAGGTAATTCGTTAACCAAAATTTTGTTAACCGAGGCGTTCATTAACCGAGGGACCACTGTATATGTGTTTTGTGTGTGTGTGTGTGTGTAGATACACACACACACACAAAACACATACAAATAAATAATAACGGGAAAATGCTCTCAGATAATCAGAAACAAATTTATGAAAAATGTTTGTCTAACCTCAAGTCCGTGCTTTATTAATAAAGTAACAAAGCACGGACTTAAGGGTAGATTGTCACATTTTTAATAAAATTGTTTCTGATTATTTGTGAGAGAATTTTCCAAATATTATTTATTTGTATGTGTTTTGTGCGTGTCTAAACGCACACCCATTTACAAAACAGATAAGGGAAATTACTGTCTCTAGAAGGAATAGCTCCCTGTCCCAGACACAAAAATACCAGCAACTTTAAAACTACCCACAGACATTCTCGAGTACATCCAGTGTGTCATCCGCGAATAATAGAGGACCGTGAAATAAAAATCTGCAAATTTGGGGCCCCTCTGTATAATAATTTCATAATCTCACACCACAGTATTCCAAATCACATAAAGACAAAGAAAGTTTTCATATATATATATATATATATATATATATATATATATATATATATATATATATATATATATATATATATATATATATATATATATATATATATATATATATATATATATATATATATATATATATATATATATATATATATATATATATATATATATATATATATATATATATATATATATATATATATCACATGTAGATCCACAATGAAAACGTGGATAAGATAAATCTTGATAAAATCCCTTTTCCCGTGTGATTTTATCGATATATATATATATATATATATATATATATATATATATATATATATATATATATATATATATATATATATATATATATATATATATATATATATATATATATATATATATAAACCACTTAAAAAGCCTATTACTTGTTCAACAGTTTAGTTTACTTTTACCCATGCAATAGGGAAATCAACAAGCTTATTTTCAATCACTGTTTACTAGAATAAAAATATAGCTGTCTGTCAGACATCTTACCCCATTCTCCCTGTACATTATAAATTCTTATTTACATACAAGGAAATAAGCAAATCTTATTATACTCACTAAGAACAGGAAAACTTTTTGTACAAGGTATCACTGAATGCTGTTCAATGCAGACAGAACAAGTTAAGATTACATACAGCTAACCTTCTGAACCACTCCATAATCATCTCCAGTTCAGTATTGCCCATAACTACTATGTTTTCCCAACATCTAGCCTACAATAATTATGTAATAACATCTAAGTAAAAAATATGGGAGAAAGCAGTTCCACATAATGAATATAAAAACAAAAACAACTGAACTTACACTTTGTACACTGTATCAATGTAGATCAGTACAGTATATATAGATATTTATCTACAAATATTTATACACATATGTACATACTTCTGATTAAGTGTAGATACTGTTGTAATGTCCAATATCAAAGTTTTAGGCTAAATTAGAGCTCCCTTATCCTATCTTGCTGTCTTTAACTTTACAGAACAGTAATCATCCTTAACCACACTGGCAGTTATATCCGCTGGTTGAAGGCAGTTGCAAATAGCAACTACACCATTCCTTACCCAAATTTCAAAACTTTTATTAATGGCAGTCAAATCTGCTGGTTGTCTCAGGAATTGAATGGAACATCTGCTAACTATGATCACTTGTTACTGCACACCTATACTGGATGCAAACTCTGAAAGAAGATAAAAGACAATAAGGTTAAATTTACTCAATAAACTGGGTACAGTATTAGCTTTCTACATTTTCTAGTACTGTACTGTTTTTAAAAATTTTATGAATTAAAACTAATATTACTTAAAATGACTAGTAGTCAGATCCCCGTTAGCCGGAACAATTGGTGCAGAGCAGTTCCAGGAATGAGATATTTCTGGCTAACCAGACGACTTTCTCAAACCCGGAAAAATTCCTTATCCCCGGAATCTTTTCCATTTACCGGGAAAAGTTTCGGAGTGTCTAAACTAGACATCTTGCACAGACGGACAGTAGCCCACTTCCCCAGAACATTTCTGGGAGCTGGGGATGTTTTCCTCGAGTCTAAACTACCGGGGTCAGTAAATGCAGTTCTAATTAAGTTAGAAACTCCAGGAATGAAGTTGTGTGTTATTGCAAAGACTGGTATTTTCCACTCCCATGGAACTGTGGGGGATTAGTGGGTCTCATGTAACTGACCTCACCTGATGCAATATCAGGTGGAGGCAAGGTGGGGGATTAGTGGTCTCATATTACAGGGGGTCCCCGACTTATGAATGCCCACAAATACGAACGGGGATAAACTTGAAATTTACAGTATTTTATTTACCCGTGGACTTATTTTTTACTTTCATTTACTGTCATTCTATTTCTTTTGTCTTAAATTAAGTGAATTTAGATGTATATAAGGACTTAGGCTATGATATAGTGGAATTTCAAACCAATGTTTTTTGTAGTTTTATGTTAGAACAAACACTCATAAATCAACACAGCTAAAATTAAGGGACGCAAAATGGTCTGTTTATTGGCTGGGAAGATGGAGAGGGAGGGAGGGGAGGTGATATGTTTGACAGTTAATGCTAAGGTCTAGTGCTTATTTATTTATCTGTCCTTATGAGTAACTTCAAGTTTTTCTCTTATAAAATGTCACTGAATTGACATGGGAGAATATAATTAACATTGCTGGAATTCTTATAAGAAAGTGATTAATTATAAGATAAAAACTTTAAAGCCTAAAACACCAAACCCTGGCTGGGGAGGGAGGGAGGGGACAGTGACATGTTTGACAGGTGGCACCTAAGGTCTAGTGAAGTATTTATTTGTTTATTTATGTCCTTTAGCTTGAGTTTTTGTTTTTTGCTTATAAAATGTCACAAGTGACCGGGGAGAATATAATTTACATTACTGGAATTCTTATAAGATAGTGATTAATTTGAATATAATCATGCTATAGTTTGCACTAGACAAAAATTTTAGTAATCATTTAGTACATTATTCTGAGTACATATACAGTACAGCTTTGCCCTTAGGACAGTGTAGCGTGCCCAGAGAAACATTAGGCGCAAAATTTTAAATATGATGCGCCAGATTGACTCGCGCAAAATAGGAAGATTCGCTTTAAATTAAAACACTGTCCCTAATTGTGGGTGTAGCTTTAAATAAATAATCTTAAATTGAATCTATAGGATACAGACATGAATAGAGTTGTGTGTTACAGCAAAGACAGTATGGTTATTTTCCAAGAGTAAACAATACAGCTCGTAGAAGCTGTAGTTCTTTATGCAAACACCACTGTACAAGTACAATACTGTATTGTTCATACTGTAACATAATAATGTATACTACTGTATATATTGTACTCACCAACAGATCCTATCATAATTAGCCTAGAATAGGCAGACACTTCACTCAGCTGACTGTAATACAGCATGCCCTTCAAATTCATGGGAGTTTGAGTCTCAAAATGACAGTGAATAGCCAAATCTGCAAATACTATTTGCTGACCTCTGTGTGTGTGTGTGTGTGTGTGTGTGTGTGTGTGTAAATTTTTACTCGTATGCAAAGAAATGTATATTCCCTTTATGTGTATATTCCCTTTACCTGTATTGTATGTGTGTGTGTGTGTGTGTGTGTGTAGACACACACTACTACTCTACTTTGCTGTCACTCAAAATCTAGTTTAACGATCATCCAGCTATGATACAATGATACAAGCTATTAAGGATGTCACCTTCGTTGGACAGTTCTGAGGCGACTAAAGAGGCTACATCTAATGCGGGAGGGGCGGCAGCAGCATCTTTCTCTCATTGCCGCTTGTCTGCCTCGATATGCAGTCCGGCTAACTCTAAAGTATTGACACTTTCTTGTGTGGTGCTCCTCCAAGCGTTACGGTGTGGAGTATTTGTCTCCCAGGTGAGGGGGGCCAATTTGGCATTTTTTTCAGGTTTAAGACTAATCTTATACCTTTTCAGTTGCCCGCCAGCATTACATTTACTATTCGTTGGGTGACTGTAAAGTAGCTGCTTTGGCAGTCTACTGTTGTCCATGCAGGTAGCATGGCCAGTCCAGTGTAGTAGTTCATCAATGCTCCTAAGTTGATGTTAGCGAGAATACTGGCATTTGTTTTCTTCTCTTCCCAGCGAACTCAGAGGATGGAATGTGACCCGTCTCGCTGCAATATAGCAGGGATGACCACTGCTCGATGTACATGCAAGTTCGTAGATAATTTCAGCTCTCTACAGCTAAAGACAGGTATGGAGTTTGCCAAAAAGCTTGAGATGCACATCCGATCCTATCTGATGTTGAATCTCTTCATCCATGTCCACAGTGGTGGACAGATGGGAACCAAGACACCGAAAGTGGGTAACGTTAGAGAGGATAGTACCGTTAAGCTGGATGGATGGTGGAGGTGTGGCTGAAAGAGAATCTGAGTCGTACATTTACCTCAAGGCCAAAGGTGTTCAGGATCTTCTGTAGGTTGCATTCAATGTGAGCAACAAGGGTGATGTCGTCTGCATACTGAAGTTCAGTAATGGAAGCTGCCAACACCTATGTTACTGCCTGGAGTCGTCTTATGTTGAAAAGACCCTTCATTCGGTACTCGATGTCCACCCCGCCGGCTAAATTGGCAGTGGCACGAGTAAGAAAGGCAGCCAAGAAAATGGAAAAGAGAGTTGGTGCCAGCACACCCTTGTTTTACCCCCATTTGGAGGGGAAAGAACTCAGACCGCGTGCCACTGTGCAGGACACTGCCGTTCATGCCATCGTGGATTTGCCTCACAATGGTGATGAATTTTGGTGGGCAGCCAAAACAGCTGAGGGTCTGCCAGAGGGCTTCCTCGTTGACTGAATCGAAGGCCTTGTGTAGGTCGATGAAGGCCATGTACAGGTCATGACGCTGTTCTCTGCACTTTTTTTGTATCTGGTGGGCAGCAAGATCATGTTCAGTGGTGCCACGTGATGGTCTAAAGCCACACTATCCTCCGCCTCAGGATGCAAGCAAGAAACACGGGTCACTCAGAGTGCAAGTTACTCCTTGTTGGTTATAGTAATTTCTTGGAGTTTTTTTTTTTTTTTTTATATTTGAGTGTATCATCTTTATATTCGTATACCATCTACCCAACTGTTGAAGCCTTTTGAGAAGTTGGCTGATAGTGAATGAGTGAGAAGCTTACTACTCTTGGTTCAAGTCATTCAGCACCAGACAGATGGTTTGATTGGAAAAGTTGATCGCCCTTAAAACAAAAACTTATACAATGCTGAAGCCTTTTAAGTTATTTAAAATTATATCTGTTTTAAGGTATGAATTTCACAATGCCATCCCTAAAAAACACACTTCATATATAAATAATCATGTACAGTACTTGAATTGATACTTCTGAATCAAATTAAAAAAATTTCTTGGAGAAATGGAACTGCTGAAAATAATGGGAAACAATGATAAATTTGAAGGTGTATCCCCCCCCCCAAAAAATAAAATAAAATAAAAAAATAATTAAATAAAAAAAATAATAAAACAAAAATACAAAATTGTAAATAATGTATCACCTGCAACTGAACTAACTAAAAAGGCCTGCAACACTGAATACAATATGCAGTAAAACCTTGATTAACCGCCCACATAAGGGGGGAAGGGGTCGACCGATAATTCCAAAGGGTCATTTAATAGTAAATAAAGTCGACGGAAATAAAACATACATTTTTAAAGTACCTATCCCTAACCTACCTCATTTAAGTCCCTCTATTCATTTTTGTTCATTTGCCATTCATATTTCAATAGCATTTGCTTTAAAACATTAACCACTTTAGTAAATAAATATGAACGAGCACAGAAACTGTGAAAAAAAATAGGAAAAGTCAAAGAACATATGACATCACGAAAAATGTGACCAAGTCCCGGGTTGCTGATCTGACTTTCTGCCTCATTTACACACAAATGCAGGGTCTCAATTGTTTCACGTACTATTGACAACACAACATACATATATTGTTTCACACTTTTTAATTTTTTTAATTTTTGCATTTCTTTATGGTTCTTTATTATTGTTTTTATCATTATCATTATTATTACATTTTCGCCCCCCAGGCCCCGATGTGGGTCAGTGACCTGTGCCCGGGTGGGCTAATCCCCGTAAAAAAATATTAATAATATTTTAGGGGTCCGGGATAAGCGGTTAATCCGAAAGTCGGTTAATCGAGGTTTTACTGAATTCACTGCTGTTACACCCAGACAAAATTAAAAAAATAATAATATCCTGAAATGCAAGAGTTATAAGTAACAAATACAGTATGAGTTAGCTTACATAAGACAACATGGGACACAGATACTCCATATTAGAATTAAAGAAAAAAAAATTTATGAAACAAAAGAAAAAAACTTCCAAAAATCTAAGAGATAAAATAATACTATCAATCATGAAATACTTAGCACAGACACAAGTGAATACAATTATTATATGGTTCAAATAAGGCTCCATGAAAATGCAAGCTCAGGGTGGTACAGTATTATTAAGAAAGCAGGAACAGTTAATTAGTGTGGAGTGGAGTGTAATAAGAATGGGAAGCCAAAGAAATAAAAAAATTTGAGTGAAATGTGTACTGAGCAGTGAGGATAAACTATGATGTAAATGTGAGATAAAATACTGGCATTTATGATATAATGGTGTAAGTACAACTTGGAGCTAAAACTTAAGAAATAACTTAGGGAACCATAAGACACTTTTAAAACAGGAATATGAAACTTCCATGCACTTCTTAACCCTTCTACAATTTTTGTTTGAAGATACACTACACTAATATTATTTGATATGAAATAGCTCCACTGACCTTACAAAATAGACCAGAATGATGCAATATCTGTTGGTATATTTTTAGCAAGCCTGACCACAATCCTTCACAACAATGGTTATACTGTTCGATATCAACTAACCCCACAACCTCAAAAAGTGGGCCAAGTTCACTTACCTCCAATACACTTTTGACCTATGAGGAGATATTTGTTTTGTAAACCAAGCTGCAATCCTTCACGAGATTATGGTGGTAACAGTAATTGTGTATACAAAAAGACAGCATGTACTATAGGGCAGATACTACACATTGCAGCACCCTAATGAAAATGTACCACTGTCAAGCTAGCAAGTTAAGGAGGGTGTTATTTATGTGCGAGTTGCTCAATAATGAAAGATGTGGTTCATGTGTTTGAAAAAAGTATTAACACAAAAGGCTATCACGTGTGAAGTGACTGCACGATTTACAAGTATAGGGTATAATGCAGAGAATTGTCACAATGCTGGAATCATTATTCATAGACAGAAACAAAAAATACCACATTTAGATTTTTTTGTAAGTACAGTGATATCTACGTTAGCCGGAACAATTGGTGTAGGGAACTTCCGGGAATGAGAAATTTCCGAGTAAGGAGACGACTCTCTCAAAGCTGTCAAAGCAGGAAAAAATCCCTCATCCCCGAAATTTTCCGGGTAATGTGTTCTCGGAAGTTCCAGAAATTGCCCATTACGTCATTTCTCAAAGCCGGAAAAAATTTCTCATCCCCAGAAATTTTCGGGTAACGGTAAAATGTTCTCTGAAGTTCCAGAAACTGCCCATTATGCCATCTTTCGAGCCTGCAAAAATACCCCCCATCCCCGGAATTTTCGCAAAATGCTCCTGATTTTCATCTCTAAACTTGGAAAAACTCCTGCATCTCAGGAATTTTCTGGCTTTCGGGAAAATTTTCTCTGAATTTTTCGGAAAACGTGCCCCTCGGAAAATCGATCCCAAAGCAAGAATTTTCCGGAAAATTCCGGCTTTGGGAGCAATTTTCCGAGAAAATTCAATTCCAGCTCTCGGAGAGTTCCGGGTTTGAGGGATTCCGGCTAACGGCGATATTACTATTCACAAGCACTAACAGTTAGGAGCAATACATGATTTTGTATCTAGCAGTACTGTACCACAAAATAAAAAATGGTTAGTAATCAGCAAAATTTAGAATTACAGCATTGCAGCACTTTCCTTATTCTATCGTGGAATGGAGTTGACATTATTTATTAGTAAAACTTGAAACCTAAATATGAAGTTATCACCCTCAATACCAGAAACAAAAGCCTGTAATTTCTATGTCAACAAACTGTTAGCTTTAGGTACACACTCACCAAAAACTTCCCGAACACTATAAGCACTATGCAATCTGAAAAATGAACGAAGAATCTAAAACCATTCCGAGATCACAAGCCCCAGTCTGCTCATTCTCACATCCATCGTGCCCAGGTGTTTGAGAAGTTTTTGTTGAGTGTACATAATCAGAGGTAACTGATCACTTCCTTTTTAGTCGGTGCATTCTTAATCTATGTTAGGAAAGCAATTGCATGCCAATGTGGAGATTTGGAGTACCTGGTCCTTATAGAAACATCACTATGTCCTTACTCTTAGCATTTTCAAAGATAGTATTAATTGTAGCAAAAACTTCAGCTGCAGGACGGGAGGCATCTATCCGGTGGTGAAGGCCTGAGGAGTAAAATTGTTTTACTTAATCAAAATGCTGTCATGATATACAGATACAGTATTATTTCAATTACAAGAAACTGCTTTTCACTCAAATATTATCAATCTAAGGAACAAACTAGTAGAGTATGGACCGAATTCAGAATGGTGGTTTGAGCCTGGGATTTGAGCTCAGCTCAGGCGTGAGAATTGGGATTCCTCGATCCAAGATTTCCTGCAGTGGATTACCCATATTCAGAACATCGGCTTGAACCCCGGATCGGGTAATCTTTTGCATTTTCTTCAATTACGATACAAGGATTCCTGCCAATCAAGTTTCATTACACCATTTCAACATCCAATCACCATCAAGAGCAATGTTTACAAGATTATGGCGGCAACTATCACTCAACGAGTTTTACGGAGGAGAAATCTTTCCTTGCACATTGTAAGTTACTTTTGTTACTACAGTATAATTAAAATCAAATTATGATAAAATTATAATGATTTATGGTACTGTTACAACATGGCTGTGTTGTTATATTGTAGATATAATCCTGGACAGGTGTCGATATTCATAACCAAAGCAAGATGAATCAATGTAGGGCATAGTAACCTGACTAGGTTTGGTTAGGGTATGTTTCTTTCCATTCTTTTAACCTCACATTTCCCCTGATTAGTAATGTTAAAAAAAGACTCCTTTATTAATACATTAAAATCAAAATGCACTCAACAGATTCAATTATATAGAAAATACACCAAAACAGTTTTCGTAAAGAAAAACTCATAATAAAGATGCGGCAGCGTTCTTTACATTTATCTGCTTGATCTCCATGGACCCGAAACACTAAAGTGTTGTAACACATTACCATATCTCATTCAGTAACCAGAATCTTTCTTACCTGGAAACTATTCATTGGAAAGACTCTTAAAGCATTAATCAGTTGATGAATGGAAGGTAGAGGTGAACCATAGCCAACAGGTCTGTCAAGTAGATGCTCCATATCACGGAAAATATCGAGGAAATCTCCTTTTCTGAACCTACATCGTTGTCTGAATTGCATATCATAAAAATTGATAGAATTCTGCCTATCTACCGTCAGTCTCCTCTCTACAAAATTTCCAATTTGACGATATCGCCGAAAAGTGCACTTTGTCAAAATTCACGTTGACTTGCTATCTTGAATGACAGATCGACTGCTAAACCTGCCTCCAAGCTGGATTAAAGCAAGGATCGACAAATCTCATCTCAAACCCGGTTTGAATCTTTGTGTTGGCTCAAGCCAGAGCTCTGAATACCATCAGACTTCAATCTTCGCTCGATCCTTGGTTTAAACCTTCATGCGGTTTCAAACCACCATTCTGAAATCGGGCTTACTTGTTTATTGGCAGATGTATAAAATATTTTAACATGTTAACAATAGATGAAAAATAAATAAAATAAACAGAGAAATAAATCAATCAAAAATAAAAATCTGCAGTATATCTAAATTTTACCCCCAAACAATTTGAGAACCAAATCTATCCTTACCCCCTGTGGTCACTGATGAAAATATACTATACTCGAGGCGCTCCGCATTCATAGGGGGCGAAGCAGCAAATTCAAAAAGCTGAGAAAAACGCGTTTAAAAATTTTCAAAGTACAAACAACCATAACTTTTTTGTTTTTTAACCCTTACGCCCCGGGTGACGTTCCAGAACGTGCTCCATTTCCCGCCACTGTTTGAAAGCCCATCGCAAGGTAACAGGTTCCAGCGTGACTATTTGAGGCATTGAGTGGAGAAACTAGCACAAGCGGCACCCAGGCCACAATCATGTTTATGACTGCAAAAGGTTCTTAAAACACCCTATTTTCATGAGGTGATGGCTGAAGTGCAAAAATGCCACTGACCATATGATTAAAATTATACAGACAAAAACCTAGCTCTGGTCCATATCTCATCGAAGAGACATTTTGACCATTTTTGTGTGGTGAATGTAGCACATCCGCTAAATTCTGTGTGAAACATACGGCCTTATGTCATAAGGATGTAAATGTGTTTGTGGGCTTGGGTGGGGGTTTGGAGGTAAGAAGGGAGTTTTATGGTGGAGGCAGCCAATCAGCAAGCAGAACTGCATGGCGGGCAGGGCTGGTGGCGCACTTTTTTTCAGTCCTTGTTTTGAAGCTTGAGTGTGGAGGAGGTGCATCTCGTACTAAGGGAGTGTGCTTTTCTTCATTAATATCGCCGTTTGTGGTTGTTTATTGTCACTACACAACAATATCAAGTGATAGTGACTAGGTTGATGATGTTGAGGCCCAGCCAGAGCCCTTTATGTTGATTGGAGGAGGCTTCTCTCCAGTAATGTTTTATTCTCAGAAGCCACCAAGGGAGTCGGTGTCCCAGATCCTGATGACAGTGACGCCTCCCACAGTGGAAAACCAATTTAGGGTGTATTTTTATAATGATAATCATGATCGGGAAAACAAAACCATTTACCCGAGTTTTTATTACAAAACATTAAGGAAACATTATTTTTGGATAGGTTAGGTGAGATGAACAGTATTGTTGCAGAAAATTATATGCATAATTTAAAAACATTCAGCTTCGATTTAAAACAAACTGCAAAATTCTAACTAGAATACTTTCCGTGTTATCAGTTTTTGAATGTTGCAAACTTTGAATGCATTTCCTGACAAAAAATGAGAACGGTGCTTGTGTTAGTTTTTCCACGCAATGCCTCATTTGTCTGTCACAGCACATGGAGGGAAGCGTGGGTGGGCTCAGAGTGGTCAGTAACCATTTCCCAGTGGTCATGGAGAGTCGCCGGTCATCTTCCACTCCAATCAAGCGTCGCTGCTGTGGGTTGGATGGTAGCCAGTTAAGGAAAGAACTATTTGATTTGAGTGCTGTTGTGGTCGAATCTGGTGAAAGTGGTGAGGAAAGCAGTGATTATATGCCTAGTGATCCTGATGGTAGCATCGAGTTAGACGATGTATTAGAGGCAAGTGAGGATGAGTTTGACGCTAGCAGCGAGGCCCAGCTAGGACGGCGTATCCCCGCCGTCCGCTCACAGCTAAGACAAGGGACAATGGATACCTTTGTTTGGTCTGATGGCAGTAATTTTCAGCCTGATATCCCTGATTTCAGACGATCATCAGGTGGAATTATTCCTGATTTTCCTTGTACAGAAGAATCACGTGAGATGGACTATTTTTGTGCTTTCTTTGATGGTGCAATCATGGACTTAGTGTGTATGTTGTGTGACGTTAGTCTCTGTAAACCTTGTGGAGTACCACTCTAAAGAAAACATTCTAAAACAATGAGGCACGTGCTTGTAAATACAGTAGTGTAAATGTATATGTATGTACAAAGTGTCACTACTCACGAGCGCTGGCAACAGCTAGCTAGGCGTCAGAGTATCACCAACACCACCACCTCAACACCCTATGTGTGGTCAGAGGAAAGTTTCTTTATAAGTACCTTCTTTTGTTGTTTATTTTTCATTGTTTGTCCATTATATCATGTATCAAGTAATATTACTAAAAGTAGTGTAGTATTACTGGATGATAATGTTATTATGTTATAAATGTATTATTTGTGGAATTATTATTCTGATAATTATTTATAAAACTGACTTGCTCTACCAAACAAGGCAAGCGGAGAAAATGACCCCTAAGTGCGTAGCGACAGCTCAACGTAAAAACACCAACTTTTACCTTATTTGTCTTATCACTGAGGCGCCACGGAATTTCTAGAGGGACAATATATAGTTTTTCTTGTGTCTTTTTTAATGTTTTTTTATTTATAAAGGTTAAAAATTATTTTTGGATAAGTTGATTTTTCTTGTTTTACCCCGTGTGTGAGGTACGACCGGCACCACCCTAGCCCGGGGCGTAAGGGTTAAGCTAGAGGGTTAATTATTATTTTTTTTCGTGCAGCTCAATCCCCCTCCTAGCGAACTGTGAAAACTAAAAGTTAGTACTGTGAATAGTTATTATTTTATCGCGAGTTGAATGAGAATAACTATCAATGATGTACTGTACAGTTGTTTGATCTTCAAACCAACAACAATTGCATTTTTCTGCAAATTTTCTTATTATTGTGGGCTAATACTATAAAACAAGTTAATGATCACCATAAACAACACTCGTCTTACTGTACAACCCACCCCCCCAAAAAAAAAAAAAAATTAAATAATAAAAATCGTATTTGCCAATCAGTATTTATTTTTCCGTCCCTATTATTGGCAGTGGAGTCGCATGTGATGCCTGGTGAGGTGCTTGCAAGTTATTACTATAAAGTTGGTCATACCAACATCAGCGATTTTAATATTATTATTAATAATAATAATTATTATAATAAGGTAATAATAAAGATTATTACTACTAATGATGAAGATAATGATGCTCATGAAGTATTCTGCACTACTACTGTGACGACGTCCAGCAAGCTTCCCGCGTATCGCTTTCTCAGTTCACACCAGCACTACTTTTTCTCTGTGCTCTCATTTGCATTGTGTTTATCACATACCTTTTTAGTGTTAAACGCTGTTTTCCCCATTGAGCATGTCTGGAAAACGTCCATCTGCCTCCTCTGGGGTGCCCAAAGGCACGAAAAACAATCACAATGGACGTGAAATTAAATGTGATCACCCGCCTTCAGAGAGAAGAGCGTGTGTCGGAAGTTGGCCGCGTGCTTGCTTTAAGTGCAGTACAGTCGACCCTCGTTAATTCGGACCCCTTTAATCCGGATTTCGGATAAATCGGACGAAATCTGAACTGTCCATATCAAATTTCTGGTTCTGGGATTGTCCCAGTTGCAATTGGGGTTGCAATTTCAAATTCTGTGTCATTACTAAGAAATAACAAAGTCCCTGGTGCACTCTAAGATTAAGAGAAAACAGACGACTCAGGCGTCCTGAAGTGAGAGAAAATGGACTCCCATGACGGGGCACTCAAATAAAGAGACATAGCTACATGTTTTGTGGACTAGCCACTGTACAGTATCCTTTTCATCACTTTGTAATAAACCTCCTTATGCCTA